GCACGCACGCACGCACGCACACACACACATATGAATTTACACAGTAGTCCGGTAGCAGACGTTGTCTTTCTTTGTCTTGTGGTGATCGGCGAAGATTCAACGACCACGAGAGCAATTATGCAGCTTTTAAATTTATTTAAAAAACAATTAGCAATTAATTAAACTTAAACGAGTGTAATTCTGTTATGACGAGGTGAGAGAGAAGAAAACGTGGCTGTTTTCTGTAGGGTCTGACTGGGTAGCAGGGTTCTCCCCAGGATGAAATTGAAACAAGGGGGAGGGGGATGGGAGAGGGGGGAGGGGAAACTAGGGGGGTTCGAAGGGCGTGTTTTTTTACCGTACCACTAATGCGTAAAATTGCCACCACACCATAGACGGTATTTGGTACTATAACACTTTTATATAAGATAGCCGAGTCGGTTTACAGTTAGTGTTAGGGTTGGGTTAGGGTTTGGTACAGGGTGACTGTTTGTACTTGTGTGTGGCTGCAGCGCATGCGTAGTGTAGGACGGTAAAAATATACGCGTGGGGTGGCCTAGTCGAATGGGAAATCTTGACGATCGATTCCTGCGCTGTCCAACTTTTATTGTGGTGGAATTTAATCGGGGCGGAGGTAATTTAAACGTGGCGCAACGATTGAAATGGGGGGGGGGCACGCCCGGTTTGCGCAACATAGGGAGGGGGATTAATCATCGATCCTTGATGCATGTAAAGTTAGGACGCCGGGGGGAGGGGGTTATGTCGGGAATAAACTGAATCTGTACACTTTTCCATTTTTAATTCTTAGTATTCTAAGAAATTCTAAGAATTTTTAATTAATTTTTTATCGTTAATCTTTGCAGGAAGCAGAGAGCCACAGCTTCCGAAAATTATTGCGGCATCTCGTAATGTAACGCGGGTGGTTGGCGAGACTGCCGAACTGGAGTGTTTGGCAACAGGCAACCCAGCACCAGATATCACGTGGACCAGAGAAGGTAAGTGCCGCATTAAATTGACTACATCACGAATTTTCTATGGTGTATATTTGTAAAAATTTTGTTGCCATTTTTTTACATTAAGAGTAAGTACTAACGGATGTATCGTCAAATTCTTACCTGGTAAGATTGTTTCTCAACTAGTTAAAAATCCAAAAAACCTGGATGATTTGATGTTATCATCCTGACATTAATTGCTTGCTATGGGCTATGTATGAGTCACGAGTGTATGTTTACATCAAACAATATAGTAAAATAGGAAGTATAATGCAGCAATTTTTTTGTGGTAAAATTAAAAGTGGAAATATTTTTTTTAGTTTTACAATTTACAGTGATGTAATCACTTTAAATCATGCTAGCATCCTCAGGCCAGAACTGATTTGGTTTTATGATCGAGTTATGCAAAGAGCAATTTAATGATCTCTCCTGATATCATGTGGAACATTAGTTTTACAATTGTTGTGTATGTTAGCGTTTAACACAGACACGCGCATCACAGGTCAAACACCGTAAGTGGCGGATTCCAGAACAAAGAACCTTATTGCAATTACGTCACTGGTACACACGGTAGCTTACGCTGTTGGCAAAACCCAAAACAGCTTCGCACTTAATACTTATACTACTAATAATTATGTGATAAAGGTGGTGGAGCATAGTCGTTGTACATGCCAGGCTGGTGTGGCAAGGTAACTTGTATCTATGTCAAAAACTATCTAATTGGAGAATTGCGTTAGATGAAACTCCTAAATTCCAAGTTCCTTAAACTGCATCTGATGATTTTCGTCAAGTAAAGTGCATGTTTATTTTCTCTTGGAGTTTGTATGTCATGCATGCCGTATTTCCATAAGAACTGCAACTCCCTTCCTTCCACGTATCCAAAGCTATTAGAAAAAGTGGGATGGGGTCATTAGATAGCATGATAGGATATGCAAGTAATGGTCAAGCGTAATATCTAAATACTAAATATGATTGTAACGTAAATAGGTGACGTCGTGAGGTTGTGTCAGTTAGTTTAGTATCTATATATATATCAAGTTGTTCAGCCGAATTAGTCCGTACTCGCATAACTAGAGAACTCCGCAGTTTAGAGGAAAACTAAAGATATTTTCAGAATCAGCACGTCTGGGAGGTGGTTCTGGCTGAAACAAAAATTTAAATATGGTAAAAAGTTAAAAATTCATAAAAATTCTATTCATCAATAGATGGCGGTGCATACAGATTAACATCACGTACGTGTGAATCCATGGGTTTGCCCTTAACAATGCAGTGGCCTAATCACTAGAACATCCGTCTCCTACACCTGGATTCCGGGTTCGAGTCCGAGCTGGGGAACTTATTTTCCCCCTTTTCCCTTTTTTTCTCTTTACCTACTATACCTCTTTAGTATGTATTATTTTTACTTTTTTACTTTTTACTTTAAATTTTTTAATTTTAATGTCTTATCTTTTGATTTCTTATTATTTTTTACTGTTTCGGATGGGATGGGATCGCATGGCATGGCATGGGATGGGATGGGATGGGATGCGGTGCGATGGGATGGGATGAGGTGGGATGGGATGGGATGGAATGGCATTGGATGGCATGGCATGGCATGGGGTGCGATGAGATGAGATGAGATGAGATGGGATGGGATGCGGAGCGATGGGATGGGATGGGATGGATGCATGGATAGATAGACAGTTATATTTTTTGGTATTTTTCTTTCAACCAAGCGGTCACCAACTGAGTAACGCCACTGATTTCTCCGGGCAACGCCGGGTATCCCGCTAGTTCTAAATAGTTGTCTGGAATTCTGGAAGGAGACGTTCCTCACTAGTTTCACTAGAGCATCACTAGTTTCACTCTATCGTTGAGCGATTGCCATACACAACCAGAAGCCCGTTTGCTTCTGCTCTGCTGCCGAGGTAAATGTGTCAGTTCATATAAAAATCCAATTTCAACGTGGGCTTACTACTGTGGGGTGCTCTGAGCCAACCAAAGCTGCGTGCGCACCCGCGTGGCACGCGCTCCGCTGCAAAATCCACGTCTTTCATCGAGAATGCCCCCTTTTTATTTTTCTTCACGCTCGTTCTGAAGAGTAGGAGCGTCGTTCGCAGAGAAGAAAATGTCGCTGGTGGAAATTGGTTCATCGTATTTTTGTCGAAAAGCGGATCATATGCAAAATAGCCGCTAATTTGGGTTTAGGCTGGCGTGAATGTTTGTGTGGAAATGATGATGCATCTGATGTTTTCATAAGTGAGCAAAACGCAACAATAGGTTATATCGGGAGTAGTAGTATCTGCTATTTTTAACTATGTACTCCGTACAGTTAACAGTGTGCATACTCCCGATATCAGGGGTTATTAATGACAAAGTGACATGTGGCAAGTGACATGTGACACGTGACAAAATGACATGTCATTATTAACCCCTGATATATATATATATATGAGTTTGCTTGCTTTCCTGTCTGTACATATTCTTGAATTGACACGATCTGTGGTCAGCTGGAAGTGTGTTTGTGTGTGTGTGTGTGTGTGTGTGTGTGTGTGTGTGTGTGTGTGTGTGTGTGTGTGTGTGTGTGTGTGTGTGTGTGTGTGTGTGTGTGTGTGTGTGTGTGTGTGT